CCTATTGCCTGCCTCCCATGAAGGATATGACCCGTAGACGTGGGTTTACATGCTAGTGGCTTGGGAAGTGGTAGTAGGCAGCTGTGAGGAGCAGCAGCAGCAGCCGTGGGTGGGAACTGGTTATAGTGGTGCTGTTGTTGAGGTGATACTAGTCATGTTACCTCTACTGACTGATAATTTGAAGGATGTGGACAGAGCTACAAGCTGGGAGAGTTGAGACTTGTCTTGGTACCACCTCCACACACTGCCCACTTTAGTTGTATCCCTCGTCTCCCACCCTGGTTGTATCCCTCGTCTCCCACCCTGGTTGTATCCCTCGTCTCCCACCCTGGTTGTATCCCTCGTCTCCCACCCTGGTTGTATCCCTCGTCTCCCACCCTGGTTGTATCCCTCGTCTCCCACCCTGGTTGTATCCCTCGTCTCCCACCCTGGTTGTATCCCTCGTCTCCCACCCTGGTTGTATCCCTCGTCTCCCACCCTGGTTGTATCCCTCGTCTCCCACCCTGGTTGTATCCCTCGTCTCCCACCCTGGTTGTATCCCTCTCACGTTGATCCTCGTCTCCACCCTGGTTGTATCCCTCGTCTCCCACCCTGGTTGTATCCCTCGTCTCCCACCCTGGTTGTATCCCTCGTCTCCCACCCTGGTTGTATCCCTCGTCTCCCACCCTGGTTGTATCCCTCGTCTCCCACCCTGGTTGTATCCCTCGTCTCCCACCCTGGTTGTATCCCTCGTCTCCCACCCTGGTTGTATCCCTCGTCTCCCACCCTGGTTGTATCCCTCGTCTCCCACCCTGGTTGTATCCCTCGTCTCCCACCCTGGGTTGTATCCCTCGTCTCCCACCCTGGTTGTATCCCTCGTCTCCCACCCTGGTTGTATCCCTCGTCTCCCACCCGGGTTGTATCCCTCGTCTCCCACCCGGTTGATCTCCCTCGTCTCCCACCCGGGTTGTATCCCTCGTCTCCCACCCGGGTTGTATCCCTCGTCTCCCACCCGGGTTGTATCCCTCGTCTCCCACCCGGGTTGTATCCCTCGTCTCCCACCCGGGTTGCATCCCTCGTCTCCCACCCGGGTTGCATCCCTCGTCTCCCACCCGGGTTGCATCCCTCGTCTCCCACCCGGGTTGCATCCCTCGTCTCCCACCCGGGTTGCATCCCTCGTCTCCCACCCGGGTTGCATCCCTCGTCTCCCACCCGGGTTGCATCCCTCGTCTCCCACCCGGGTTGCATCCCTCGTCTCCCACCCGGGTTGCATCCCTCGTCTCCCACCCGGGTTGCATCCCTCCGGTCTCCTCTCCACCGGGTTGCATCCCTCGTCTCCCACCCGGGTTGCATCCCTCGTCTCCCACCCGGGTTGCATCCCTCGTCTCCCACCCGGGTTGCATCCCTCGTCTCCCACCCGGGTTGCATCCCTCGTCTCCCACCCGGGTTGCATCCCTCGTCTCCCACCCGGGTTGCATCCCTCGTCTCCCACCCGGGTTGCATCCCTCGTCTCCCACCCGGGTTGCATCCCTCGTCTCCCACCCGGGTTGCATCCCTCGTCTCCCACCCGGGTTGCATCCCTCGTCTCCCACCCGGGTTGCATCCCTCGTCTCCCACCCGGGTTGCATCCCTCGTCTCCCACCCGGGTTGCATCCCTCGTCTCCCACCCGGGTTGCATCCCTCGTCTCCCACCCGGGTTGCATCCCTCGTCTCCCACCCGGGTTGCATCCCTCGTCTCCCACCCGGGTTGCATCCCTCGTCTCCCACCCGGGTTGCATCCTCTCCCCACCCGGTCATCCCCTCCCACCCGGGTTGCATCCCTCGTCTCCCACCCGGGTTGCATCCCTCGTCTCCCACCCGGGTTGCATCCCTCGTCTCCCACCCGGGTTGCATCCCTCGTCTCCCACCCGGGTTGCATCCCTCGTCTCCCACCCGGGTTGCATCCCTCGTCTCCCACCCGGGTTGCATCCCTCTCGTATCTCCCACCCGGGTTGCATCCCTCGTCTCCCACCCGGGTTGCATCCCTCGTCTCCCACCCGGGTTGCATCCCTCGTCTCCCACCCGGGTTGCATCCCTGTCTCCCACCCGGGTTGCATCCCTCGTCTCCCACCCGGGTTGCATCCCTCGTCTCCCACCCGGGTTGCATCCCTCGTCTCCCACCCGGGTTGCATTATATCCCTCGTCTCCCACCCGGGTTGCATCCCTCGTCTCCCACCCGGGTTGCATCCCTCGTCTCCCACCCGGGTTGCATCCCTCGTCTCCCACCCGGGTTGCATCCCTCGTCTCCCACCCGGGTTGCATCCCTCGTCTCCCACCCGGGTTGCATCCCTCGTCTCCCACCCGGGTTGCATCCCTCGTCTCCCACCCGGGTTGCATCCCTCGTCTCCCACCCGGGTTGCATCCCTCGTCTCCCACACCGGGTTGCATCCCTCGTCTCCCACCCGGGTTGCATCCCTCGTCTCCCACCCGGGTTGCATCCCTCGTCTCCCACCCGGGTTGCATCCCTCGTCTCCCACCCGGGTTGCATCCCTCGTCTCCCACCCGGGTTGCATCCCTCGTCTCCCACCCGGGTTGCATCCCTCGTCTCCCACCCGGGTTGCATCCCTCGTCTCCCACCCGGGTTGCATCCCTCGTCTCCCACCCGGGTTGCATCCCTCGTCTCCCACCCGGGTTGCATCCCTCGTCTCCCACCCGGGTTGCATCCCTCGTCTCCCACCCGGGTTGCATCCCTCGTCTCCCACCCGGGTTGCATCCCTCGTCTCCCACCCGGGTTGCATCCCTCGTCTCCCACCCGGGTTGCATCCCTCGTCTCCCACCCGGGTTGCATCCCTCGTCTCCCACCCGGGTTGCATCCCTCGTCTCCCACCCGGGCTTGCATCCCTCGTCTCCCACCCGGGTTGCATCCCTCGTCTCCCACCCGGGCGCATCCCTCGTCTCCCACCCGGGCGCATCCCTCGTCTCCCACCCGGGTGCATCCCTCGTCTCCCACCCGGGTCCGCATCCCTCGTCTCCCACCCGGGCCGCATCCCTCGTCTCCCACCCGGGCGCATCCCTCGTCTCCCACCCGGGCCGCATCCCTCGTCTCCCACCCGGGCCGCATCCCTCGTCTCCCACCCGGGCCGCATCCCTCGTCTCCCACCCGGGCCGCATCCCTCGTCTCCCCCGGGCCGCATCCCTCGTCTCCCACCCGGGCCGCATCCCTCGTCTCCCACCCGGGCGCATCCCTCGTCTCCCACCCGGGCCGCATCCCTCGTCTCCATCACCCGGGCCGCATCCCTCGTCTCCCACCCGGGCCGCATCCCTCGTCTCCCACCCGGGCGCATCCCTCGTCTCCCACCCGGGCCGCATCCCTCGTCTCCCACCCGGGCCGCATCCCTCGTCTCCCACCCGGGCCGCATCCCTCGTCTCCCACCCGGGCCGCATCCCTCGTCTCCCACCCGGGCCGCATCCCCTCGATCTCCCACCCGGGCCGCATCCCTCGTCTCCCACCCGGGCCGCATCCCTCGTCTCCACCCGGCGCATCCCTCGCTCCCACCCGGCCGCATCCCTCGTCTCCCACCCGGGCCGCATCCCTCGTCTCCCACCCGGGCCGCATCCCTCGTCTCCCACCCGGGCCGCATCCCTCGTCTCCCACCCGGGCCGCATCCCTCGTCTCCCACCCGGGCCGCATCCCTCGTCTCCCACCCGGGCCGCATCCCTCGTCTCCCACCCGGGCCGCATCCCTCGTCTCCAGTACTTGGGAAATAGGAAGTAGCATTTCCTTTAACAAATGTCAGAACTGCACGTACATCTTAAGTATGTTGTCAATATCACCATAACTTGTAACTACATTGAGCCATAACTTGTAACTATATTGAGCTAATCAGTGTGAAGCTAAGCTTAGTTGCAGTTGCCAAAAATATATTGCATAATTAGGCCTTTCCTGTTAGAACATAGTTATGAAAATATCTGTGAAACCGTTCAGCCTATTAGAAAATAAAGATTTTGTCTGTAAAAACTTGTTGTAATTGACTAAGTGAATGAGGTGTGAACCAGCTGTTGCTGCCCACTACTTCAGTTATGCATCTTAAGCTGCCCAGACTTGGATAGTTATGTTTCAGTATGAGTAAGTTAATTTAGGCACGGGCACACATAAGTACTACAATTATTGTATATAGTATAAATTATCTAGGATAACCCAGTATGGTCAGACAGTGATTTATTTCTTGTCAGTCATGTGCTCCCTCACTTGAACAGGTGGTAAATGTATACATAAGCTTGTGTAGACATGTCACAGGGTATGGTAACTATGAACACATCTGTTCCAGGCTGAGGTACTGATTACCCCAAACTGCTACGCCTCATCTTCCATCATTCTTCTCTATATTGAACTGAAGAAGCCACTGGCTGGTGAAACATTTCCACAATACATGTATTGATTCCCAAGTGTTAGACAAGTGTCACATTCACATCACACTTATGATCATTCTTTCACCACAGTGTGTCTCCACATTGAATGGACATATTAGTAAGTACACAGCATGTGTAAAAGTGTCTGAGGGCATGGTAACTTTTTTATTCAGCAGAATTGGATAAACGAGCAGTGTGCTGGTACCTGATTCTCTGATAGTTATACAGTGGAAACAAAAGCTAGCTGTTTCTGGTGCTGCTAAATGGAGGGAAAACTGTTGTACCAGGTGTTGTTGTACCAGGTGTTGTTGTACCAGGTGTTGTTGTACCAGGTGTTGTACCACAGTATTTGCCAGCTCAAAGGTACTACTGTTATTGAAAGACTTTCAAGTGGTTGATGCTGCCTGTGATTGTGTGGACAGAATAATTTTCTGTCATAAAGTGATGACTATGATCAGAGGCACCTCAGGGAGTCCTTGATGCTGCTAAGTGTAGTTCTGATTCCTTGGATCAAGAGCCTTCACTCTTGAAAGGTGTTGTAATAGATCTAACAGTTCAGTGAGCAACATTGGGGTACCTTATTTGGGTACAGTACCATTTATTGTGTAACTAAAACGACTGTTATGTTACAGGCTGCTGCCATCGAAACGCAAGTTAACAAAGCAACCACAACGGTGAAGTCAGGTGCTCTACAAGCACAGCACATACAGCTTGGACAGACACAACAAGGGCATTTGCACCTGTCGCAGTCTCAGCAGCAGCAGCAGCAGCAGCAGCAGCAGCAGCAGCAGCAGCAACAGCAACAGCAACAGCAGCAGCAGCAACAGCAACAGCAGCAACAGCAACAGCAGCATAGGCAAGGTGGCAGGGTCTTGGAACAAGGCAAGCAGGGGCCGAACCTCACTCATCAAAGGCAGCCCCATCATATTCCGCACCAGACAAAGCAGTGTGACCTCCAACAGGTATGTTCCTAGCCTCCAGGAACATCTAACCTTGTATTATCCCATCAAGAAACCACCATCATCTTAAACACTTCATTATTATTGGGCATTGTAAATCTCTAGTTTATTTTCTTTTTTAAATTTGAGAATCCTACTTAGCCTGCTACTCTAATCATGATTATGTGAATGTCTAATTATTTGGTACTGCCAATTACTTTAAGAGTATCTCAAAAACACTAAGTTAGATACTAATCATTTCTGGCTAGACATGTTGATGTCTGAAACCATTGTATAACTTTTCATGAAAGAGCCATAGAGTTCTTGGGGCAATCAGGTTACATCCAAGAATGGAAAAAGTAGCTCAAAGTCTTTGACCCAAGAGCTTTCATGAGCATCAAAGGTTAGCTGAGTAGAGAACAATGTTTAGGTTTTCTATACAGTACTGTTATAAGAGACCGAGGATACCACCTAAGTTTGCTTTCATGTGATCAAACCATGTTGAGTCAGTGACTGTCAAGCTTTTATTAGGGTAATAAATACAGGAGCGATTGGTGGAATGATGATGTAAAGAGAGTAGTAAGGGAGAAAAAGTTAGCATATGAGAAGTTTTTACAAAGTAGAAGTGATGCAAGGAGGGAAGAGTATATGGAGAAAAAGAGAGAGGTTAAGAGAGTGGTGAAGCAATGTAAAAAGAGAGCAAATGAGAGAGTGGGTGAGATGTTATCAACAAATTTTGTTGAAAATAAGAAAAAGTTTTGGAGTGAGATTAACAAGTTAAGGAAGCCTAGAGAACAAATGGATTTGTCAGTTAAAAATAGGAGAGGAGAGTTATTAAATGGAGAGTTAGAGGTATTGGGAAGATGGAGGGAATATTTTGAGGAATTGTTAAATGTTGATGAAGATAGGGAAGCTGTGATTTCGTGTATAGGGCAAGGAGGAATAACATCTTGTAGGAGTGAGGAAGAGCCAGTTGTGAGTGTGGGGGAAGTTCGTGAGGCAGTAGGTAAAATGAAAGGGGGTAAGGCAGCCGGGATTGATGGGATAAAGATAGAAATGTTAAAAGCAGGTGGGGATATAGTTTTGGAGTGGTTGGTGCAATTATTTAATAAATGTATGGAAGAGGGTAAGGTACCTAGGGATTGGCAGAGAGCATGCATAGTTCCTTTGTATAAAGGCAAAGGGGACAAAAGAGAGTACAAAAATTATAGGGGGATAAGTCTGTTGAGTATACCTGGTAAAGTGTATGGTAGAGTTATTATTGAAAGAATTAAAAGTAAGACTGAGAATAGGATAGCAGATGAACAAGGCTTTAGGAAAGGTAGGGGGTATGTGGACTAGGTGTTTACAGTGAAACATATAAGTGAACAGTATTTAGATAAGGCTAAAGAGGTCTTTGTGGCATTTATGGATTTGGAAAAGGCGTATGACAGGGTGGATAGGGGGGCAATGTGGCAGATGTTGCAGGTGTATGGTGCAGGAGGTAGGTTACTGAAAGCAGTGAAGAGTTTTTACGAGGATAGTGAGGCTCAAGTTAGAGTACATAGGAAAGAGGGAAATTATTTCCCAGTAAAAGTAGGCCTTAGACAAGGATGTGTGATGTCACCGTGGTTGTTTAATATATTTATAGATGGGGTTGTAAGAGAAGTAAATGTGAGGGTCTTGACAAGAGGCGTGGAGTTAAAAGATAAAGAATCACACATAAAGTGGGAGTTGTCACAGTTGCTCTTTGCTGATGACACTGTGCTCTTGGGAGATTCTGAAGAGAAGTTGCAGAGATTGGTGGATGAATTTGGTAGGGTGTGCAAAAGAAGAAAATTAAAAGTGAATACAGGAAAGAGTAAGGTTATGAGGATAACAAAAATATTAGGTGATGAAAGATTGGATATCAGATTGGAGGGAGAGAGTATGGAGGAAGTGAATGTATTCAGATATTTGGGAGTGGATGTGTCAGCGGATGGGTCTATGAAGGATGAGGTGAATCATAGAATTGATGAGGGAAAAGGGTGAGTGGTGCACTTAGGAGTCTGTGGAGACAAAGAACTTTGTCCTTGGAGGCAAAGAGGGGAATGTATGAGAGTATAGTTTTACCAACACTCTTATATGGGTGTGAAGCATGGGTGATGAATGTTGCAGCGAGGAGAAGGCTGGAGGCAGTGGAGATGTCATGTCTGAGGGCAATGTGTGGTGTGAATATAATGCAGAGAATTCGTAGTTTGGAAGTTAGGAGGAGGTGCGGGATTACCAAAACTGTTGTCCAGAGGGCTGAGGAAGGGTTGTTGAGGTGGTTCGGACATGTAGAGAGAATGGAGCGAAACAGAATGACTTCAAGAGTGTATCAGTCTGTAGTGGAAGGAAGGCGGGGTAGGGGTCGGCCTAAGAAAGGTTGGAGGGAGGGGGTAAAGGAGGTTTTGTGTGCGAGGGGCTTGGACTTCCAGCAGGCGTGCGTGAGCGTGTTTGATAGGAGTGAATGGAGACGAATGGTTTTTAATACTTGACGTGCTGTTGGAGTGTGAGCAAAGTAACATTTATGAAGGGGTTCAGGGAAACCGGCAGGCCGGACTTGAGTCCTGGAGATGGGAAGTACAGTGCCTGCACTCTGAAGGAGGGGTGTTAATGTTGCAGTTTAAAAACTGTAGTGTAAAGCACCCTTCTGGCAAGACAGTGATGGAGTGAATGATGGTGAAAGTTTTTCTTTTCGGGCCACCCTGCCTTGGTGGGAATCGGCCAGTGTGATAATAAAAAAAAAAAAATACAGCAGTGTAATGGTTACCTACCTTATACAGCAGTTGGTTCCATGTTTGAGTATGATGGAGGGATACATATTCACAAGTCCAATTTGAGTTAATTCTGTATTTGCTAATACAGTACCCCTTGTGGGGTAAACAGTGTTGGTATGAATTACCCCTAAAATTTTGGCAAATGAGAAGCTTGTGCATCATTTGAGTATCATTATTCTGGAAAAGTTTCACCATCCAGTGGCTTTTTCGATCCAATACAGAGAAGAACAGTGGAAGATGTATTGGACTGAAGATATCACTGGCTGGTGAAATGTTTCCAGAAAAAAGATGCTCAAATGTTGCACAAGCGTCTCCTTTACTAACTTGCTGGTTTCGTAAACCATTTATACAAATACAGCCTCTCCTCACTTAACAATGGAGTTCCGTTCCTAAGACCACGTCGGTAAACGAATTTGTTGCAAAGCAAGGAGCATACTATAATGGAAATGGGTTTGTGTCAACCATCTTTTATATTGTTTTAATGTCACCTTTGCACCATTTATAAAATTTTTAGTATATTTTAAACATGCAGTAGTGTACTGTATACTTTTGTTTTTCTTTTTGGGCCACCCTGCTTTGGTGGGATATGGCCAGTTTGTTGAAAGAAGAAAGTGTGCTGTATATTGTAATAAACAGAATACAGCTTCTCCTCACTTAGTGATGTACTTGTTTACTGACACCTTGGACTTATGACGGGGTCTCTGGCCAGTATGCATACCTAAATAATGTATATTAGAGCTGATTTCCTCTATTGTTTGTTACAGTATGCAGAACACTACTGTATAAACATTTTAAAAATATACCTGAAGTGTTATAAAAGGTACAAAGGTGGCATTAAAACATTATCAGTGATAGTTGACACAAACCCACTACCATTATTGTATGCTCCTCACTTAGTAACAAATTTGTTTACTGACATGGTCTTAACCCTTAAATGGTCCAAACGTATATATACGTTTTTTCAACATCTGAAAGTATGTAAAAAAATGTAGATCTTCTTTGTTTTACATTTGAAAACGTGTAAAAAAAACTTTTATCTACATTTTTTTGTTATATTTGAAAATATGTAAAAAAAAAAGTAGATCTACTTTTGTAGCACTATGAATTTGAACGTCGATCTGTTTGGACTGTTTAAGGGTTAATAATGGAACTCACTCGTTAAGTGAGGAGAGACTGTAGAGGAAATCAGCTCTAATATACATTGTTCAGGTGTGCATACTGGTCAGAGAGCTCATCGTAAGTCCGAGTCATCAGTAAACAAGTGTGTCACTAAGTGAGGAGAGGCTGTACGTACAGTGGACCCCCGCATACCGTTGGCATCACATAACGTTATATCCGCATACCGATACATTTTATCGCTAAGATTTTGCCTCGCATACCGCTAAAAAACCCGCTCAACACTATTCGTCCGAGACGCGTTTGTGCAGCCTGAGCCAGCCTCACATGTTCCGCCAGTGACATTGTTTACAAGCCAGCTCTGCTTGCGGTAACACCCAGCTATACATCGTAACATTTCGTATATACAGCGTGTTTTGGTGATTTTATCTGCAAAATAAGTCGCACCATGGGCCCCCAGAAAGCTTCTAGTGCCAACCCTGTGGAAAAAGGGTGAGAATATTATTGAAATACTGTGGTACCATGGTCAACTGCTGATGCTGCTGCTGCTGTAGCACTGTCAGCTTGCTGCTGCTGTAGCACCATCAGCTGCTGCTGCGTACCAGCTGCTGCTGCAGTAACCATCTGCTGCTGCAGTACCGTTCTGCTGCTGCTGTAGCACTGTCAGTTGCTGCTGTAGCACTGTCAGCTGCTGCTGTAGCACTGTCTGCTGCTGCTGCTGCTGTAGCACTGTCAGCTGCTGCTGCTGTAGCACCTGTCAGCTGCTGCTGGCTGTAGCAACCGTCAGCTGCTGCTGCTGCTGTAGCACCGTCAGCTGCTGCTGCTGCTGTAGCACCGTCAGCTGCTGCTGCTGCTGTAGCACCGTCAGCTGCTGCTGCTGCTGTAGCACCGTCAGCTGCTGCTGCTGCTGTAGCACCGTCAGCTGCTGCTGCTGCTGTAGCACCGTCAGCTGCTGCTGCTGCTGCTGTAGCACACGTCAGCTGCTGCTGCTGCTGCTGTAGCACCGTCAGCTGCTGCTGCTGCTGCTGTAGCACCGTCAGCTGCTGCTGCTGCTGCTGTAGCAACCGTGCAGCTGCTGCTGCTGCTGTAGCACCGTCAGCTGCTGCTGCTGGCTGTAGCACCGTCAGCTGCATGCTGTAGCAGCACCGTCAGCTGCTGCTGCTGCTGTAGCACCGTCAGCTGCTGCTGCAGCTGTAGCACCGTCAGCTGCAGCTGTAGCACCGTCAGCTGCTGCTGTAGCACCGTCATGCTGCTGCTGCTGTAGCACCGTCAGCTGCTGCTGCTGCTGCTGCTGTACCACCGTCAGCTGCTGCTGCTGTAGCATCGTCTGCTGCTGCTGCTGTAGCATCGTCTGCTGCTGCTGCTGCTGTAGCATCGTCTGCTGCTGCTGTAGCATCGTCTGCTGCTGCTGTAGCATCGTCTGCTGCTGCTGTAGCACTGTCAGCTGCTGCTGTAGCACTGTCAGCTGCTGCTGTAGCACTGTCAGCTGCTGCTGTAGCACTGTCAGCTGCTGCTGTAGCACTGTCAGCTGCTGCTGTAGCACTGTCAGCTGCTGCTGTAGCACTGTCAGCTGCTGCTGTAGCACCGTTGTTAGTGTGGCTTATTGAGAATACCAAGAAACAATTAACCCCAGAGGGTTAGCCACCCAGGATAACCCAAAAAAGTCAGTGTCATCGAAGACTCTTAACTTATTTCCATTGGGGTCCTTAATCTTGTCTCCCAGGATGCGACCCACACCAGTCGACTAACACCCAGGTGAACAGGGAAAAATGCCTAGAACTAGTGCTCATATTGGTGAATTTAAAGCCAGCAAAGGTTGGTTTGAGAGATTTAAGAATCGTAGTGGCATACACAGTGTGATAAGGCCTGTTCTGGAAGAAAATGCCAAACAGGACCTACAGTACTCAGGAGGAAAAGGCACTCCCAGGACAGTGTCTCATCAGTCATTGCTGCATCTTCAATAAAGGTAAGTGTCATTTATTCTTCATTTAGTAGAGTAGTACATGCACAATACATAGTGCATGTACTACTCTACTATTGTGCATGTATCCTTCTCTTTGTGTGTAGGAAAATGTATATTTCATGTGGTAAAAATTTTTTTTCATACTTTTTTGTGTCTTGCACGGATTAATTTGATTTCCATTATTTCTTATGGGGAAAATTCATTCGCATAACGATAATTTCGCATAACAATGAGCTCTCAGGAACGGATTAATATCGTTATGTGGGGGTCCACTGTACTTGGCTTCCCTGTGGCTTATGATATAATCCCAGCTAGTTTAAAATTACTGTGGTAGTGACCTCAGTTCACAATTGAGGGACTGAGTTCATTCTCTGGATGAGTGGAAACATTGATCTTGTTTCCTTACACTGGTTGCCCTTGTTCACATATCAGTAGTGGTAGCCAACTGTTAAGTCACATCCTGGGGTAGAGGATTAAAGGACCCTAATGGAAATAAGCCAGACAGTCTTATGACAGTAACTTTTGTCATATTATCCTGCATTATTAACCTTCTGAATGTGTAATCCAAATAAAAATCTACAGTAATTAATTTCAGATACAACAGCAAACTTGAAATGTGACACATTTCTCGTATTTCAGAGAGTAGAGGAGGGTGAAGAGAAGAGTGAAGAGGAAGGAAATGAGGAGGAGGAGAATGGGTGGTGGGCAGAGAGGGTAGTGGGTCAGCTGGGGGGCCTGGGTGACTACGGTGACACTTGGTATAGAAGCCATGCTCACCTCCTCCTCGGTGATGGACCACTCCCACACACCTGGCGACTGTATGTTGCTGCTCTGGTATGTATATAAATACGTAAATATGTATACTGTATACTGTTCAAATGTATGCAGTAATGTAGTTTGACTTTGGTGCATCAGTCTTCTGAGAACCCAGAGTCTCAAAAAATATACAATAAACTGCTATATATGGTGGCTTAAACTGTACTTTATAAAAGGTGTTTGATAGAATGTACAGTTGTTAACCATACATTAATTCAAGCAATCATTGGTACAGATGATGGATAAAAAAGACAGGTATATGTGCCAAGTCATTTGAGAGGAGAACAATGTGAAACCTTTAAAAAATGGACATAATATTGTAAGCAAAACCACCACCACTATTAAGCCTTACATTTTATGTCTGCTTTTGGCATGTCTCTCGACTCTCATTACCATCATGGCAGATTAGGGATAGTCTGTATGACCATGTTAAAATAAAATATCACTCAAAACATTCTCCAATAGAATACAGTGAGACAGATCTTAGTACCAAATATTTTAAATTGCTGTTTGGTAAATGTTTAATGTACTGTATAAATAAATGAAAGATATTACAAAATAAAACTAGAAAGCCTGTAAGAATATAACAGGATTGTGGTGCTGCAGCACTGCATGCTAACGATGGCACCAGGACCAGGTACAAGAGACTGAATTGGAGAGCAAGTAAGGCTTCATTTGTTGTACAAGTTCAGTCTACATTTGAAATTACTTTTTCTTGCACATAAGCACCTGTAGAATACTTCTTTTTTTTTTTGTTTTGTTTGTTTTGTACTGGTCATCTCCCACTGAGGCTGGGTGACTTGAAAAAGGAGACCTTATAAAGCTTTTCTTCTGTTTACATTTAGTAATTTATACAGAAGGGGTTATGGAATAATTATACTTATAGAGCATTGATTATTCCCTTTTGGGGTAAAGAGGGCGCATTGGATTTTCAACAACAACAGATAGTCGGTTATTTTTGTGCCTTTATTTTGTGCATAACTTTTTTGTATTTTCTGTTTAGGTGCTGGATCAAATAAGATCCAGCACCTAAACAGAAAATAATGTTGGAAGCCAGATAACTGAGTGTTCAATTATAAACGATGTGCATATTCATGGGGAAGGACGTACTAAACCCACAAGGGTTATACAGTGCATAGAAATAGGAGGTACAGGTTTGACCCAAGGATAGGGAAAACATCTCCAATTCTTTGGAGCAAGAGCCATTTACCAGCACATATCAGGGCACTGCACTGAAAAGTCAGGCCTCTCCTGATAACTCTTGTCCATGACTAAAGTTTGCAGTAACCTGATATTAATTATTGAAAGTGGTGTTCTGCAATTTGAAGTGGGCTAAGAAATTTCTTAGTTTACAGTCTGCAAATTTGCCGACTTGGGTATCCAATGCTTCTACTGAAAGGCGACTAGCAAGTAGTTTTGATTATAAATTTTTTTTTCTCTGGTTCTCCTGTTCATAAATCTGTTTTTTCTGGTCATTATTTCTTATGAATGTCAATATTATGTTAACCATATTAGTGATATACTACAGAGATAGTCTCTGAAATAAGAAAATGAACCTAAATCTGAAAAAAAAATGTTATGCAGACTTATATTATTCACAGTTGTTAGTTGTGCAGGATCTCCAGTAACAAATGTATATTTCCCAAAATTTGTCCATTAAATTCTCAATTTAATGGACATAGATTAATGAATTTCAGAAATACAAGACAAAATTCACTGCATCAGCTTGTGGAATTTACAGACAAAGTTTGTTGGTTATGAATTGTCCACTATTGTTGCAGTCTTGGCAAAACGGTCTCATCTCTTTCCACGACAATCACCATTACTGACTACCCCCCCCCCCCCCCCATCAGTTATTAACCCTTTCTGGGTCACCAAGCCCTCTCCAAGACTTGTTCCCAGGGTTGCCCAAATTTCAAAAAACAAAATTATTTTTTCTTATGGAAAGATAGAGAATCTTTTCCCGATCATAATGACACCAAAAGTATGAAATTTGATGGAAAACTTATGGAATTATGCTCTCGCGAAGTTAGCAGTCTCGATGATGATTACGCATCGGCGATTTTGCCCACTTTGAGCTATATTTTCGGCCAATTCCAGTGTACTAGTCAACAAAAATCATAACTATTTCGCTAGAACTCCATTTTTGCCATCGAATGAGTACAAGAAACTACCCATTTACCTATCTCAACTATCCAATAAAATGGTCAGAATTTAGCAATTTTACCAATTTCACACAAACTTCAAACGATGCCAATTTCCGAATAGGGTCCAGAATAAACAAGAAAGACATTCCTGGCAGTAAAATAACAAGTTCTCTGTTCGTTAGTCACATCCCCAGGCCCCTCTTATATTTCTTTGGCTTTCCACTTTGAATTTTTATTCTTACAAAAAATAGAAGATTTACTGTTATGCAGACTACTGCATTAGTGTAGAAATGGTATAAATAATATCAGCGCACTTGTGAAAGAATATTAGACTCACCAGTTGACGTGTATTGGACGCTTGGCATGATTTGTTTAATTTTGAACTTTGGTAAAAATCGAACATTTCTACTACTTTGAGCTCCAATTTCAAGGTACTTTTCATTGTAAAACCAGTCAAAATCATCTCAATTTCTGTAATATATCTTCCATTCTATAAAATGAGACCAGGAAAACTAGAATACAACCATAAATACCATACGAAAATGCAGTGCAGAGTCGCTGTTTTAATCCAAAAAGTTTTTTTTTTTCTCATTACGCACTGTATGCTGCAGGGTTTTTTTTATACTGCGCACACTGACCACATATACCCATTCTTTCATATGTAGGCCTACCAGCTTTCTCTCACTAGATTTGAGGGCACTAGAATATAGGCGTACAAGTACGTCAAAAACCCTGGGGCGTAAGCCGTACTAGTACGGCCGAAACGCGGAAAGGGTTAATTAAATCAAGAAGTTTACTGTATTGCAGTAGGGCAGTATCTACATTCACATGCGTAGTGCTCCAAAAGTAGACCTACGTTTTTTTACACGTTTTCAAATGTAAAAAAAAAAAAAAAAAATCTTTTTACATACTTTCAAACGTTGAAAAAACGTAGATCTACGTTTGAACAGTTTAAGGGTTAAGTGGTTCATATAATACAATGCAATTTTTATTTCTTTGCAAGTTTACATTGAGATTCTTTAGTTGCAATAATGGGTTGAAGGCAAAGATAGCCACTATCATGCCATGGCATTATGGGCTGACTAAATTAATGGCTTACAGGCTACTTAAAATTAGAGAAATTGATCATAGTTTATTTCAGTTGTGTATCTGTTTTTATTTAAAGCAGACAGTAAGTTAACTCAAGTTAAAATCTGGGGATATTACATTGGGACAATTTGAAGTTTTTTTGTAGATTGTGTATTTTTTTTTTTTTTTTAGTTTATAGCATGAGAATGCTACAATATAGTTTAAGGTAGTATAGTTTTGTGCAGGTATTTATACTACAATATAGTATTAAGTTATGTATGAACTTTGGGTATTTAAATTTTGAAGTGTTAAGATTTAGGTAATTGGGAGATCTTAATTTAAGTACTGAGTATTGAATATTTAGTTTAGGGTGAGTAAATGGTTTTTGAGAAGTTTTGAATTGATGTTCAGACCTGGTTACTTTAGTATTTGATGAGAGTAAGACACATGTGCAACATCTGGGTATCTTTATTGTAGACGTTTCGCCATCCAGTGGCTTTATCAATACAAATTATAGGACATAACTTGAAGACAGTAGAACTATGTACAGAAGATGAGGTAATCAGTCCCTCAACCTAGGAGTAGGTGCGAACAGCACCATAGTCGTATTTACTGGTAATGAGTTCCAAATTTTGGGGCCCTTTATGTGCATAGTTCTTGCATAGTGTGGTATGGACATGGGTACATCAAAGTGATCTGTGTCTTGTGTTATGGTCATGGGGGTTTTGTGCTCCCTATTAACAGATCAAAAAAAATAGTCTAATTTTATATAAGTTTTTTAATATTTAACATTTAACAATGTTGCAACTACAGGTCGGCCATCACTAATCCGGTATCATTGGGACCTGTAGTTTGCCGGATTACAGAGTGGTTAGGTTAGAATACTTATCATTAGAGACTTTCTGCTACATCTCCCTCATTTTCATCACTGCTTTCTCCTCCACTGGCTTGCTGCTGTGGATTTACAGCCATCTGCACAATTTCAGAGTCGGTATAATGTTGAAATTTGAAATTATGCTAGCCGAAATTAGTGCCGGATTACTGATGGAACCGGGTAACTGATTGTCGGATTAGTGATGGCTGACCTGTACTTAACTTATAATTGGAAGATTTAAGCAGTGGCATTATATGACTTAGAGGCCAAGTGAAATATTTTTATAATCAGTATGTTACTGAAATATAGAATTTGTGATTGTCTTAATTGGAATGAAATGCAGGTTGACAGAACTTAAGCAATAAAAGACACTGTATATGAATAAGTATTAATTTAAAAGTTCTAATAAGAATTAATTCCATGTAGGCTGTGTGTCGTCATGAAGTTGGATGGCTGATGAAGGCTCTACTAACTGACTTCCGTAATGCTGGAGGAGATATTCGATGGATTGCTGGCCTACATCATGCTCCATCGAAACTTTATGCACTTGTCCATATCAACAATCTGTTAGCACATCAACCTTGGCTTCTTATGCCACAACATATTCAGGTTAGTAATAATAATTTTGTTGGTTGTCATTGGGAAATTACTGTAAGGTAATGCATGTACAGCCCCCCCCCCCCAATTACGTTGTTGTCAGATTTCGTAATATTCGAAATGAGTAAGTTTTTTTCGGCGAAATATTGGCTCGGTGATCGTCATTGAACTCAGTATTAGTCATTCATCCCAAATGTGTCCACGCGGCCAGAATGGTTCGACACACCATTTACAGCCTGTGTGCCATTGTTTATCAGCCAGTGAGGACAATCTCATGCATTCACATGATATATTTTGTATTATTCCATTCTTTTTAGTGCTTGCAACTGTTAAATAAGCCACCATGGACCCAAAGAAAGTTCCTAGTGCCAGCCAGCCCTTTGGTAAAGGGTTGAGAGAGAGGGGAGAATGTGCTTTTATTAGTGATTCTGCAATATGTACAATACTAATGCAGCAGGAGTCGACAAAGGCTATCACGCCAGCCAGCAATAGTGTAGCATTAACAGTGTAGCAAGTATGTTAAGTGATTAATTGATAGAAAAAGGTCAGCCCTATATACCTCTATTGTTGTTAGACTAACACTGCCGCCTCTGCTGCCTCTTGCTGCCGCCTTCACCACCACTATACAGTGGACCCCCGCATAGCGACTTTAATCCGTGCAAGAGGGCTCATTGTTGTGCGAAATGATCGGTATGCGAATGAATTTTCCCCATAAGAAATAATGGAAATCAAATTAATCCGTGCAAGACACCCAAAAGTATGAAAAAAAAAAAATTACCACATGAAATGTTAATTTTAATACACACAAACTGAAAAAGGCATGCACAATTACATGACACTTACTTTTATTGAAGATCTGGTGATGATTGATGGGATGGGAGGAGGGGAGAGAGAGTGTTAGTGTTTAGAAGGGGAATCCCCTTCCATTAAGACTTGAGGTGTCGAGTCCTTTTCTGGGGTTACTTCCCTTCTTCTTTTAATGCCACTAGGACCAGCTTCAGAGTCACTGGAGTTCTTTCGCACAACATATCTGTCCATAGTGGCCTGTACCTCTCGTTCCTTTATGACTTCCCTAAAGTGTTTCACAACATTGTCAGTGTAATAATTACCAGCACGGCTTGCAATAGCTGTGTGAGGGTGATTTTCATCCATGAAGGTTTGCACTTCAAGCCACTTTGCACAGATTTCCTTAATCTTTGTAGTAGGCAATTTCTTCAATTTCTCTCTCCCCTCCTTCGAACCAGTTTCCTCAGGTCTGGCCTCTTGCTGTTGAAGTTGATCTATCAGCTCATCAGTGGTTATTTTCTTCATTGTCCTCCTCCACCAACTCTTCCACATCATCCCCACTAACCTCCAACCCCAAGGACTTTCCCAATGCCACAATGGATTCCTCAACTGGCATAATCCTCTCAGGGTAGCCTCAAACCCTTCAAAATCCCTTTTGTCTACACATTCTGGCCACAATTTCTTCCAAGCAGAGTTCAAGGTCTTCTTAGTCACTCCCTCCCAAGCCTTACCTATAAGGTTTACACAATTGAGGATATTAAAGTGCTCTCTCCAAAACTCTCTTAGTCAGTTGAGTTTCTGAGGTCACTACAAAGCACCTTTCAAACAGAGCTTTTGTGTACAGTTTTTTTTAAGTTTGCAATAACCTGCTGGTCCATGGGCTGCAGGAGAGGAGTGGTATTAGGAGGCAAAAACTTCACCTTAATGAATTTCATGTCCCCATAAAGTCGCTCTGCCACGTCTGTAGGATGACCAGGGGCATTGTCTAACACCAGGAGGCACTTAAGTTCTAATTTCTTTTCAGTTAGGTAATCTTTCACATTGGGGGCAAATGCATGGTGTAACCAGTCATAGAAAAAGTCCCTAGTGACCCATGCCTTACTGTTTGCCCTCCACAGCACACACAAATTCTCCTTGAGGACATTCTTTTGCTTGAACGGTCTGGGAGTTTGAGTGATACACCAATAAAGGCTTCACTTTGCAATCACCACTAGCATTGGAACACATCAACAAAGTAAGCCTGTCTTTCATAGGCTTATGTCCTGGGAGTGCCTTTTTCCTCCTGAGTAATGTAGGTCCTGCTTGGCATTTTCTTCCAAAACAGGCCTGTTTCATCACAAACACTTGTTCAGGTTTCAGTCCTTCACTGTCTATGTACTCCTTGAATTCCTGCACATATTTTTCAGCTGCTTTGTGGTCCGAACTGGCAGCCTCACCATGCCTTATCACACTATGTATGCCACTACGCTTCTTAAATCTTTCAAACCAACCCTTTTCTGGCCTTAAATTCACTCACATCATCACTAGTTTGCAGGCATTTTTTTAATTAAATCCTCATGCAACTTCCTAGCCTTTTCGCTTATGATCGCTTGAGAGACGCTGTCTCCTGCTAGCTGTTTTTCATTTATCCACACCAATAAGAGTCTCTCAACATCTTCCATCACTTGCGATCTCTGTTTCGAAAACACAGTTAAACCTTTGGCAAGAACAGCTTCCTTGATTGCCTTTCTGTTGCCCACAATAGTAGCGATGGTTGATTTGGGTTTCTTGTACAACCTGGCCAGGTCAGCGACACGCACTCCACTTTCATACTTATCAATGATCTCTTTCTTCATCTCTATAGTAATTCTCACCCTTATTGCTGTAGGGTTGGCACTAGAAGCATTCTTGGGGCCCATGGTCACTTATTTTGCAGATAAAATCACCAAAAACACTGTAATAATACGAAATGTTCTGATTGTATGCTTGGATGTTACCGCGGAGGCTGGCTGGTAAACAATGCCACCGGCGGCACATGTGAGGCTGGCTAAGGGCGCACATTGGACGCGTCTCGGACGAACAGCGGTGAGCGGGTTTTTGAGCGGTATGGGAGGCAAAATTTTTGTGATAAAAGCGAGCGGTATGCGGATTGAACGTTATGTGATGCCGACGGTATGCGGGGGTCCAGTAGCCCTCATACACCCAACAACAAACACACCACCACTTGTGACATTCTTAATGCCGTATTTTATTCATTCTAGAGTATGTCATGTTTCTATGTTATTAATATTGTTTATTATGTCATATTAGATGAATTGTGCTAGATGAGTAAGCTGTAGAGCTGATATTAGTGTCATATTGAAGGACTATCTTGTCCTGTCTCCCAACACAATTCCTAACATACACCAGAAACAGACCTCTCTGGAACACTTTTTAGTGTGACAGGGGTCCAGTGACTCTCAAGGTCGTCCTAGTGGCATTAAAAAACAAAGAAGGGAAGTAACCCAGGATAAAGATATGGTACCTTTAGTCTTTATGGAAGGGGATTCCCCTTCCAAACAGTTGTAAACTCCTCCATCCTCTCCTCTCCTCTCCTCTCCTCTCCTCTCCTCTCCTCTCCTCTCCTCTTCCATACATCACCATATCTTCAATAAAGGTAAATGTGATTTTTTTTTTTTTCAACAAGTCGGCCGTCTCCCACCGAGGCAGGGTGACCCAAAAAAGAAAGAAAATCCCCAAAAAGAAAATGCTTTCATCATCATTCAACACTTTCACCACACTCACACATAATCACTATTTTTGCAGAGGTGCTCAGAATACAACAGTTTAGAAGCATATACGTATAAAGATACACAACATATCCCTCCAAACTGCCAATATCCCAAACCCCTCCTTTAAATGTGATGTTATATTGTTTTATTCTTTATGTATGATTCTTTTCTGTGTAGGTAAATGTATATTTCGTGTAGAAAACTTATTTTTTTAATACTTTTGGGTGTCTGAAATGGATTAATTGGATTTTCATTATTTCTTGTGGGGAAAATTGATTCGGAATTTGTAAGATTCGGGTTTAGTCACTCTTTCTGGAACGGATTAATTATGAAAACCAGGGGTCCACTGTACATACATGTTTATGGTAAAGTCCCAAACTCATAGGGATCACAGTACCTGGGGAATGGGAAGTAATTAAGCTTTATCCAAGGATGGGATGGGTAGCTTCAATTCCTTGATCAGCAAGGTACCCTCCAGGAAGAGACCTTTGGGAAATATAGTAGTACAGTACAGGTATTCCTCAATTAACGACAGAGTTCCATTCCTAAGAGTAGGCCAGTAAGCAAATTGGTTAAGCAAGGTGTGCTACACTCACATACGCTTGCTGGAAGTCCAAGCCCCTCGCCCATAAAACCTCCTTTACCCTCTCCCTCCAACCTTTTCGAGGACGACCCCTATCACTCCTTCCTTCCCCTACAGATTTATATGCTCTCCAAGTCATTTTGCTTTGATCCATTCTCTCTAAATGACCAAACTACCTCCACAACCCCTCTTCAGCCCTCTGACTAATACTTTCAGCAACTCCACACCCCCTCCTAATTTCCACACACTGAATTCTCTGCATAATATTTACACTACTCATTGCCCTTAGACAGGACATCTCCGCTGCAGGATATGTTTCATTTTCTATTATTAGTATTAGTCCTGGCCTAAGTCTGTCCGAAATGCATTTTAATAAATGATGTTAACCTATCTTTGTAACTCTAATGTGTCTTCTAAGAAAATAAACATTGAACTGAATTAAAAGATGGGCTATATAAATAATGGAATGAGAGACCAATTTACAAAGATTCCTTCTCAAATATAGCCTTTTAATGATAAAAGTGATGAGCTTGTTAGGAAAGGAATGAGCCAGTTTTAACATTAATTAATGATGATGATAATAACAAGAATAATAATAATTGCAGGAACTGACAAAAGGTGAAGAGAGCTGGTCACTAGGAGAGCTGTGTCAGGCTCTGTGCATCATGACACATTTCCATGCACTGGCCACATTCCTTCATGGGTGTGGGCTTGCCACCCTCCCCAGATCCTCCAAGAAAGATGAAGGTAAATATCAGTACGTATTTTATTCTTGGGAAAGCTTTAAAATTAGGGAAGCTTGTAACAGCACCTGGGGAATGGGAAACAGTGGGGTCAATATTAGGAACTCCTCTACAGTGAACATTGCTCAAACAGACTAGAAAAGGTAGAATAATATACACTTAACTAAATCAGTGAGTGATTATTTTTTTTTTAAACTGGCCATTTCCCACCAAGACAGGGTGACAAAAAAAAAAAAATTACTTTCACCATCATTCAAACTATCACCATTGTGCCAGAGGCAAGCAGATATGACAGTTCGGATGTCGCTTCAAACAGCAAGTATCCCAAACCCCTTCTTTAGAGTGCAGATACTGTACTTCCTACCTCCAGGACTCAAGTCTGGCTATATTATCATCTAGACAACTTTATAATGCTGTTTTAATTATTTTTATTACTGTCCTCCAGGGCAGGAAGTTGACATAGAGCCAACAAGCAATGGTAAGCCAGTCACAGAACCTTTACAAAATAGAGAGGGATGCCCAGAAACCCCTTGCAACATCAATGCCAATGCAAACAGAAAATTGAATAGCAGGTAAGGTTTCAGTTATATTCAAATTCTGAAAATAATTATGCAATACTTTTACACTTATTGTGTGATATGAATATCAATTTTGTAAATATTTATCCAGATATATATGAAAGCTTCTAATATGTCTGTGAAGTATGTGAATCTATTTCTTCTCCCATCCTAGCTGTTGATGTACATTTGAATCCTCAGGGCTAAGGTACTAAAAACACTATACAGTAGACTGCCAAATAACGAGCAGTCAAGCAACATGTTTTCTACACGATTGAAAATTTGTGACAGTTTTGAGTAGCACATTGCAAGTTTCAAGTAGCATGCAGTAAATTTAGTGGAAAATATGTAAAAGGTGCTATGCTGTGTTTTGAAGTCATTTAATTTATTTTTATTTATACATTTGCTCAGTATATTAGTGATTGATAATAACATGTGAAAGAGTAATTAAACTAGAAATTGAAAGGATGATTATAGGCACCACCATAAAATTTTTGTTTTTGTTTGGTGCTATATGGCCATCATAACATGCCATTTAGTTTCTGCACACCACTGGGAACAAGGCTCAGAGAACTCATGGTGTCGTGACCCTTAATAATGACAAAAATAGTTCCTACCTTTTTTATTACTGTACAAAAATACTCTGCTTATCTTGGTTATTACTTTCTTGTATGCATTTGTCTTTAGTACATGTTTGTTTAATATAGTTGTCATGAGTTCCTGTATGTATGTTAAAATTTAAGGAAATGTAGCTGGTGATGGTAGTGGTGGCTGATGCTCTCTACCACATGTTTGCACAGGGCCTCATAAACCCTCTCCACATATTTCCAGATCAAGAAAGGGCTACAACACTGGAAGAAGTGGAAAATGATATTTTTGACAAATTATAGAATATTAAAAACTTTCATTTTTTCTGGTGCTGTTAAGAACATAACCATATTTTTCCCATGTGTTCTCTAGTTTAACATGATTTTGTGTAACATGCTGTTTTCTGGAATGTGACTCCTGTGCTATTTTATGGTCATTTATATATAGTAATCAGGCTTTTATTACCAGGTACTAGGCTGGTCTCGGTATTTGTAATTTTTTTTTACATTTCTCGTGATAAATACAGTAATTTTAGTGACTGATAAAACATGAAGCTTGAAACTCATTACAGATGAGTTTTTATGTCTATGAAAAATATAAAGGATAATTTAATCTGCAGATCAGAGGCTAATAAATCAAACACTGTTGGTGATAATAGACATGGAATACGGATATATGCCCACCTTACGGTAGACCCAACTTTAACCTACGAAGACTTCAATGGTAATGATGAGTCCCGCATTCCGTCTTTTTCTGTTCATGTAAGTATAGTACAGTATTATAGATTTGTTTTATTACTCCCTAATGAAACAAACTTTAGGAGATATGGAGTTGGAATGAATTATTCTGGATACAAACTTTGTTTTTGAATACAGTGGACCCTTGGCTAATGAACGCGTCACATAACGTTAAATCCGCCTAACAAAGTGTTTGAGCGTAAAAATTTTGGCCCACCTAACGATTAAATCTCGCCCAACATGATTCGTCCTCAAACCTGTCCCGTCCAGCCTGAGCGCCTCAGCTGCCCTGCTGTCATTGTTTACAAGCCAGGGTGGCCGGTTTCATGCATATATTCGATACATTTTGTATTGTTCCATTGTTTATAGTGCTTGTAACTGCTAAATAAGCCACCATGGGCTCAAAGAAAGCTTCTAGTGCCAACCCTGTGGTAAAAAGGGTGAGAAATACTATTGAAATACTATCGTACTACGGTCAGCTGCTGCTGTACCACCGTCAGATGTTGCTGTACCACAGTCAGGTGTACTACTCGAAGATGTGGAGAGACTGTTGTTGGTGTGGCTAAACGAGAAACAATTGCCAAGAAACAATTAACCCCCAGAGGGTTAGCCACCCAGGATAACCCAAGAAAGTCAGTGAGTCATCGAGGACTGTCTAACTTATTTCTATTGGGGTCCTTAATCTTGTCCCCCAGGATGCAATCCACACCAGTCGACTAACACCCAGGTGAACAGGAAAAAATGCCTGGAACTAGTGCTCATATTGGTGAATTTAAGGCCAGCAAAGGTTGGTTTGAGAGATTTAAGAATCGTAGTGGCATACACAGTGTGATAAGGCATGGTGAAGCTGAAAAATTCCAACCCCAACAAGTGTTCAATTGCAACGAAACAGGCCTGTTCTGGAAGAAAATGCCAAACAGGACCTACATTACTCGGGAGGAAAAGGCACTCCCAGGACACAAGCCTATGAAAGACAGGCTAACTCTCATGTTTTGTTGTAATGCTAGTGGGGATTGCAAAGTGAAGCCTTTACTCATGTATCACTCTGAAAATCCCATTATGTTCAAGAAAGTGTCTCATCACTCATCAGGCAAGTGTCATTTTAACATTTATTTATATAGTTATTGTGCATGTCTCATTGTTTTCTTTGTAGGGAAATGTATTTTTCATGAAAAAAAAATTATGTTTTTAATACTTTTGGCTGTCTGAAATGGATTAATTGGATTTCCATTATTTCTTATGGGGAAAATTAATTCGGCTAACGATAATTTCGTCTAACGATGAGCTCTCTGGAACGGATTATATCGTTAGCCAAGGGTCCATTGTAGTTGTTTTAAACGTGAAGAATATCATTGTTCAGTCTCTTAATTTGTAACTAATACTTCATTACCTGTGACATGAAGGAAAATGTGGCATACAGTATTAGATAGTTTCCACTTAAATCTGTTAATAACATGGTCATTCTTTTGTGCAGTCCATTTCTACTGCTCATACAAATTGTAATCTTCATTACATTATCATAAAGCTCTGTTGCCACTCATTAAGTGATTCTTGTACAGCATTTTCATCAATGTGGCCTTCTCTGGGCCACTTCTCTCATAACATATTCTCATTTTTCTTTTTTTTTTTTTTTTTTGGCTTTAATTCAATAAAAATTCTATAATGTATGTAGTATACGACAAATGTCAATTACGTTGCTGTAATTATTTATTACAGGAGTACAATTGGCAGGATCATGGTTATGCAATGTGCTCACGGCTTTTGGGAGAGGTTGGAGCCTTTCTAGATGAACGTTTCACATCAGCCCTATCACCAAAATATTCTCTTCCTACAAAGCAATTTGCTATGGCAGGCAATGATCAGAAGACCAACCCAGTAGCAGGCCAAGCTCAGTGTGATACAACACATGCCAAGTCTACACCTCTGCCAACTAAAGCATTATGGAATTATGTCCAGGTAACTTTCTTACTAAATAATATTCAAAGATAAATTGTATACATTTCAAATTCTTTTTTTTTATCGCATCCGTCATTTCCTACTAGTGTAAAATGACCCAAGGAAGAAAGAAAAATTTACCACTCATACAGTAGCTCTCTTGCCAGAAGCTTGAAGCTGTCTGAGGTGTCAAGGTCCCAGGACTGAAATGTTTTCTAATAAATTTGTCCTAATGTTTGGTTACGTGTCATTTTAAACAAATTTATTGGTATCAATTACCAAGGTTTATACCGAATAAGCCTCTGAACCATAACATTCTGATTTGTCCTTCAGTTTTGTCACTGCTTCCTGCCTCCAGAACTATAACATGTGTTCATCATTCATTGCAAGTATTTAATTCTGTGTGTAAATATATATGCATGTACATGCACTTGTAGTGTGACCTAAGTGTAAGTAGAAGTAGCAGGATATACCTGTTATCACGTGTGTTTGTGACAGAAAGACACAAGTGATCCTACCATCGTGTAAAACAGTTACAGGTTTCCATTTCACTCAGTTGGCAAGAGGACAGTACCTCCATGGGTAGTTGCTGTGTACCTACCTACTACCTATAGCACTTCAGTATATCCTAAATATATATTTTACAAGGTAGTAGGTTGGTGGACAGCAGCCATCCAGGGAGGTTTCTACTGATCTGTCATATTAATTGATAAAAAAATAATTTAACCCCTTGGTAGTTTAATTTTTAATTTTTGGAAAAAATTTCTTAGCTTGAATTGGCAAGTTTTTAGAAAGGGTAAACATTTCCCATGAAAGTTTTAACATTCCCCTTTTTAATCAGTTTGCAATAAACCAAAAGTAAATATTTAAAATGTTTTTTTGGATAAAAATTTTCTCGTTTTAATTCCCTTCTAATTTTAAATAAGGCATAAGTTTTTTAATTTTATAATGCTTGGTTTTAATTAATCTTTTTCATTTTTTTTGGGTTAAACAAAAAATTATAAAATTTTAAACTTCGGGCAAAACATTCTTGAATTTTTTAACTAGTTTTTGGGGTTCATCATTTGAAAATTTTTGTTTTTCAATTCATTGTGTTTAACAAAACACTTTTATCTTTGCTATGAATGATTTTTTGTTTCTCCCTCAAAATTTTTTTCACATCATTTTTTTTATTGCATTCTTTGTGGGGGCCTGACTAAAACTTAATTGTTTTATTTCACCTTACCTGTTTCTTTGGGACTTGGTTTATTTTAATTCAAAACCCACAAATTTTATTTTTTTGCTCTTACTCTCCGGATTGAAATCATGGCTTAATCCCCACTGAAAAAGAAGGGTTTTCAGGTATCCTTTTTTTTACGTTTTTAAGGGAAAAACTATTTTTTGGGAAATTTAACCGAAATTTTAAAAACACCCATAATTGGAAAGTTTTTAAATTGTTTTCCCTACAAAAGAATTAAAAAATCGAAAGGAAATTTTTTACTCCCTTTTGTACGCCTCTGCTTTAAATTATCATCAAATTTTTTGGATTTTTATTGTTTAAAACCACCTAAAGTAAAAAGATTTTTTAGTTTTTTCAAAACCCTATTTTTTTACTTTTTAAATTTCAGAAAAGAATCATTTATTTGTAGATTTGGGGGAAACTTTTTTGTGGGATGTTCCGTTTTTTAAAAAGGCCACTCTTTTGTCTTATTTCCTTCATTTTTCCCAAAATTTCGACCTCTTTTTATTTTCAAATAAAGTAGGTTCCTTCTTTTTAATTTGTGAAAGCTAATGTTTATGGCTGGTCCTTCTTGAAAAAATTTCCCCCCCCCATCTAAAGGGGTTTTTTTTCATCTATTTTAAAAATTTTTTTAAAATTGACATTTTTTAAAAAAAATAGCGTTTTTTTAAAGTTTAAACCCATATAATTACCTAAAAGTTTTTATTTTAAGTTAATTTTTATGAAATTTCTCATGGTTAATAGTCAGGGCATACATTATATTCCCCTGCCAATCAACTGGTTATACAAAATTAAATAATTGTTTTTTTTTATCCCATCAGAAAAAAATTTTTTGAAAGCCAAAGCTTCGTTTTAAAAAGAGAATTCAAACTATTTTTGTCCCATTTAATTGCCAAAGAACCTTTTGGAACAAACGTTTTACTTTTAAAAAATAAATATGAATGTTACAGGCTATCTTTTGAAAAAAACCGGTTTTTTTTAATACATCTCCGCTTATGGGCACATCCCAAACTCAGGGTTTTAAATATGGAAGCAATGCTCTCATGAATTAAATAAACAAAAAAATTCTGTAACTAAAACAACAAAAAAAAAAGAATGTCTTTTTTAATCCTATCTTATTCGTTCTGTAAAATCAAAAAAGTTTTTTTTTAAACGAAGATTAAATTAAAACTTATTAAAAACCTGAAACTCCCCCCAAGCTAAAAAAAAGTCTTTGTCCCCCTTTTAATCGGGCCCGATAAAATTTAAAGTTTATACTATTGAATGTCTCGCTTCCCCCTTTGGTAAAAACCTTTAAAATAACCTTGGTGGCTTAAATTTTTTGTTAAAATTTCTTTAAAAAAATTTTTTTTTTTTTTTTTTTAAAGGTTTTCTTCCCACCTTACCCAGAAGAGAAAAAAACTTGCTATCATTCAAAATCAGTTTTGAGAATTAAGATTTATACCCCCCTTAACCAAAACCCCTAACAACCTTTAGTTGAATAATTTTTTTCCTCCAAAAATTTCCCTAACCAACTATGTTTTTTCTCTAACATTTTCCACACAAAACTTTAGACACAAAAACACTTTCCAGTTTTTTCCCATTATCTGTCCCTTTCCCCCAATTAACCCCAAAATCCCCACACCCCCCCCCATCCCCCTGAAAAATCCTGGGTTTTACCTTCCCCCTATTATAATAATAATAATTTTGCCACTTTTCCCAACCCAATGCTTCCTCAATTGATTTGGGGTCCATTCCCAATAAATAATTTCTTTCCTCCAGGATAATTTTTTTTGTCCCCGTTTCTTTATTTTCTTAAAAATTTTTAAAGCTTACAAAAAAGGGTTTACCTTTCCCCTCATTTTATTCTTTTCCAGAAATTTTTGGGGGGAAAAGTTTCTTTTTTCCCCCCCCATGGATATAAGAAAAATAAAAGCCCATTAGAAAAAATAAAAAAAAATGGTTTACCCATAAAAGATTCTTATTCCCTTCCCCCAGTAAAAATAGAAGAAAAAATTTAAAAAAAAAAAAAAAAAAAAAAAAAAACCTCAATATGAAAAACATAAAAAAGCTTCCCGTTTTACAATTCCTTTGGTAGGAAAAATAAATTTGGGGCAGTTGGAAAAAAAACCACTCCTATAAAAGTTGTGTACCCCAGGAAGATGCCACCATGCCTAAAATTTAAAATTAAAAGTGAACATGAAAGAAATGACAAACAAAGATTTATGAAGAAAAATTGAAAAAATTAAAAGGGAGAGGGAAAAAGGAAGGTTCAATTTTGGGGGAGGCTTGGGCATGGAGGGTTGTTGTGGTACCTCTTTTTGAAAAAAAAATTTTGTATGGAGGGGTTTTTATGAGGAAGGTTAACCAAGAATGATAAAGAAAAAAGGTGACGGGTCATTGAGTTTTCTGTGGAGAAAAAAAAATTACCAGAGCAAAGAAGGAATGTACAAAAGTATAGTGGGAGCAACACACTTATAGGGTGTAAGCATGATTTTGTAAAATGCTTGAGTAAGGGGGAGGCTGAGCAGTGGAGATGTCATTTCCCAAGGCAATGTTGGTGAAATATTAGCAGAGTGTAAAAAAAGACACATATGCAACTGTCTTACCTAACAACCTGTCGTATTTATACCATTTTATTGTTCATTATGAAAGGAAATTCGATGTAAAATAAAAGGTGTGGATTATTTAAAGTATTATCAGAGGGCTGAAGAGGGGTTTTTGGGGTGGTTTTGGGTCATTTAAGAAAAGGGACAAAGTAAAAATGATATGGAGACGTAAAATCTGTGGGGAAAAGGGGGGTGGGGGTCGTCCTTTGAAAATTGAGGAGGGGAAAGGAGTTTTTTGTGGCAGGGGCTTGACCCCCACAAGGGTTGGTGAGCGATGGATAGGATGAATGGAGCAATGGTATTGGACATGACAGCGTTGGGTGTGAGCAGGTAATATTTAGTGAAGGGTTTCAGGAAACCTTATTTTTCATAGCGGACTTGAGTCCGGAAATGGAAGCACGTGCCGCACTTAACCCTTTTTGACTGTTTGGCGATATATACTTTACGCACCACTGTTTCGGATTTATTTATACCAAAAATTTCTACGGCCAATCAAGTGGGAAACTGGTAGGCCCACATGTAAAGAATAGCTGTGGGGTCATGTGCACCACAAAAAAAAAATCCTTCAGAAACGCAGGGGTGTAATGGAAAAAAAAAAAACCCCCACCTTTTTTTGGTTTAAAACACCAAACCTTGGGGTGAATTTTTGTATAGATTATCGTTGTATTCTTTTTTTTCATGGCCATTTGATAAAATGGAAAAAAAATTACAGAATGAGAAATTTGATTAGTTTCAGTGAAAACGCCTTTTAAATTGAGCTCAAAGAGCAGAAATTTTCGTTTTTTACCAATCTTCAGAGTAAGCAATCCCCACCACACTCCAATAACATCAACGGGGAGTCTAATATTCTTTCACAGTGCACTGATATTATTTTTACCTTTTTTTACAATAATCATTAGTCTGCATAACATAAATTTTAAAATTTTTTTGTATGATAAAAAATAAAAAATAAAAGCAATATAAAATAAAGGGGCCTAAGACAGACTAAGAAAAAGGGGATATTTTTTTTAGGCCAAGAATGTCAATTTTTTTATTTTGGGCCCCTATTTTGAAATTTTGGCATCTTTTTTTTAATTAGCGGAATTGGCCAAATTGAAATTTTTCTGACACTTTTTTTGGGGTATTTTTCAAACGGTAAATTGGAAATTTTCTTGTCTCAACTGATAAAAAAAATGGAGTTCTAAAGAAATACTATGATTTGGTCAACTGGAATAAGGGAATTTGGGCCCCAAAACGGCTCAAAGTCGTAAAATCACTGATCT